TTTATTTTTTATGATGCTGGATAGCTGGATTGATAACTGCTATTAAGTGGTTTATTTTGGTTATAGTTTGTATACTCACATTTTTTTTATAGCCAGGCACAAGGATTAATTTGATGGTTGTGTTGATGAATATCTATATTTATATCTATGTACCTATCTATAAATTTATTGATAGATAGATAGATATTGCTCTTGTAGTACAGTTTGTGTCTGGTGTTTGGTTGCTTTTGTATTAATTAATGATGTTATAACTAATATTTACATATATTCCTTAGAAAAGTTCTGTTTCCTGGAATTGTAAAGCTCAAGGAAATGAGTTGTACTTTTACAATGTTTTGTAGGGATCATATACAAATTTTGATTAATTAATCAAATATAACCAGAACTGCTCAAAATTTTATATTTCAGAATATTCCTTGTTTTTTTATAAGTATATCGAGAATAGAGATTTTCTGTTTGAATTTATGAGTACTAAGCATGAATATATACTGGATATATTCATGGTCTGATTTAAGTGATCAGGTGTATGTAAGAATTTTTTACCTGCATATGTTTATATCTTAGATATATACATAAGTTTGCATGTTTAATTATTTGTGTGTATTTATTATGTGAATGTGTGTGTTACCGTACAGCTGTATGGATATATGTATATAGACATACATATATGTTTGAGTGAGTCAGATATGGTAAATTTTTGAGTATAGGTTTTTACAAATGTATGGAAGCATCATGTATTTAATTATTTTATTGTTTTGTTTTGTACTCTGTATATTTATGCATTATTACAAGTACATCATATCCATAATTTAATAGCAAAATATCCATCTTATAGCTTGTACATGCCATCTTCTGGGAACACTCAATAATGCTGGCTGCAATGTCCTGACTGGAGAATGTTCCTGCAAGCGATTTGTGACTGGACGTGATTGTAACCAGTGTTTGCCCCAGCACTATGGCCTGTCTGAGCACCCAGATGGATGCCAGCCTTGCAGCTGTGATCGAGGAGGTTCCCTCGATAACAACTGTGATGTGCTCAGTGGCCAATGCAAGTGAGTTGAAGTTTTTTTTCTATTGAGGTTGGTACATTTACCTGTGTTATTACTGTTTAGTTTATTTTAGGTTTTTATTACGTTTTTCTAAGAACTGACTGCTTTGAAATGTCAAAACTTTTAAGAAGTAAAAGTTTTAGCAAAGTGAATTCAGAAAATAGGAAAGAGCATCATAGTAAATATAATAAACTGGATAACTGTGAGATGCATCATATGATGGAGTAAACTTAGATATGATGTAAAAGGGAATTTTGTTTAGGAATTTTTTTTGCATTTCATAAAGTTATAGAAGGGTAAAAAGAGTTTTACAATTATCTGTTAAAAGAAACATAGTCTATAGAATTTATGATTAAGAAAAAAAGCAAATGAGTTTAATCCCCCCAAAACAAGCAAATAAAACAAATGAAATATCTATAGAAAAGATATCTTCCAGGGCTTATTCAGTTTTGATTTTTATAGTGTTTTCAAGATATAGATGATGCCTGATATGTACAAGGTATAACCACAGGTATAACCCCCAAAAGAGGTTTTTGGGGGTTATACCTCCCGAAAAAGTCGAAAAAATCACTTCTTTTCTTCTTCGTCTTCAGTACATCCTAACTACCACAGTTCTTTACTGAATAGTCCCCCAAAAATACTTGCGTTAGATCAACCCTAGCCTAAGGCCATGTAAGTAGCTGATTTTAAAATTTTTTTTTTTGGGAGGGGGGGGCATTTTTTTTTTTTTGGCGGGGGACTGCTTGACATAGAGCACTTTTTTCAGTATTAAAATGTTATTATTTTTTGATTAAGGCAAAAATTAAAATTCGGCTCTCTACACGGCCTTAGGACTCCGAGGCTCTAGTGAAAGCAACAAACTGCATTTGAATCGCACGAAAATTACGAAAGTTAGGATGTACCGAAGGTTATAAAACAACAACAACGGAGATGCGGCATATCATATTTGGCACCTTGCCAAAGTTCGTTATCACTATTTTTCTCTGAATCTAATGATATTATACATAAAAAAAAGCTTATTTAGTGCACTTTGTAATACAATGATTACCAAGTCAGTAGGAATTTTCATTTTCAATAGGGACGCTAATCGGTAAAGGTCTGTAATTCTTTTTTGTTGTTGTTGCTGTTGTTCATAAAAGTAGATATTTTTGTCTGAAAAGTTTAATAAATGCATTTTACCATAGAGACGACTAATCTAAACCAGATAAAATCCTTTTTTAAATTTTTTATTTATTTATTATTTATTTATTTATTTATTTATTTATTTATTTATTTATTTATATTATTATTATTTTTTTTTTTTTGAAGAAATGGGGAACTGTGGATGGCAACATTAGTACAAAATCATCCTAATTATAAAGTCCTAGCATGAATACAACATGGTGGTTCATTTTTGAGAATTTTAAAAGGAAATGAATTTTAGTAGATTGAATTGGAGAACTTACGGAAGTTGTTGAGAGAGAGAGAGAGAGAGAGAGAGAGAGAGAGAGAGAGAGAGAGAGAGAGAGAGAGAGAGAGAGAGAGAGAGAGAGAGAGAGAGAGAGAGAGAGAGAGAGATGGTCACTGGATGTTTATAATTTTCGAGGAGGATCATATGTACGTGAACACACGTACATAAAGTTAAAAAGATTAATCATTCTCATTTAGTAGGCCTACATCGACTTTCATATCTAAATAATAAAATATATTAGTTATCCCTCTCAAACTGTTTTCTATGATAATTGTCAATATTAACAGATTGCAAAGGAGAACAAGTGTAGTGTGATTAGCCATTTGCACTTATTATCTTTACTAAGAAGTGCATAAAATTGTGCAGACGCCTAGGTGTGGTGGGATATTTGCGAATTTATGGTGCCTAAGACCTACAGTAACGTCTAAACATATTAATTTTTATCAGGAACGCACAAAACAAATGCTATAGCTTTTTGAACTTTAGTCAAAGAATGTGCATACAAACGAGCTCAAAATTCCTTATAGTTTTTATTTCAACGTGGATATTACTGAGTACTATCATCTTCAATATGAAATAATCTGTATCACATTTATACATCCGAAAATGAAAAATCCGACATTTAGGTAACATTCGTATTGAATTGGTTTTTACAACGATAAGTACCAATATCAAATCAAATTCAAAATTTAGTGTGTGATGTACCGACCGTTGAGTGAAATGTAACGGAAATATTCCAATCCTTATAAGGCTATTTTCAAACATTAGTGCGTCGTATGTTATTGCGTACAGATTACCTCGTAAACTAACACATATTACCAGGGAGTCTCGATCGAAGCATATTTCGTGTGTAAAAGGACACAAAACTTGCATTTTTTTAGATATATTTCACAAAATATTTCGTCATAAATCACAGTGATATAATTTTTTCCTGATATTGGTATAAAAGTGTTCCTTGAACTTTCACGAACTCATATCTATGTGCAGTGTCAAAATCAAATGCCGTATGCACGATTGCAGCAAGCAGAAGTCCACATAGGTGTACCTGGGCGCTCGTTAGCAACGTACCTCCCTAGGTGCTGAGGGAGTCTCTCGTCGGCAGCAAGACAACGAGCCATAGCAGGCTCTTAACCCACCCGCGCCGGGGTACATTTTGTAGCCAAAATTTAAAAAATCCGGGAAGATACAAAATCGGCGGGCGGAGCTTCCCCGGAGTCTGTCCGCCCGCCCGCCGCCCCCGCCGCTTTTGCCGCGGAGCACGGCTCCGAGACAGCATCGCACTGGCGGGCAGCCCGAAACTGTTTATTTTTTCCTTGTGTCTCATATATGTGACACCCGGGACGGATGGGTTAATACTCGTTTGGTAGTTTCCTCATCCATGTACCTATACTATATGCTAGCTAACTCAATTTGACACCCCCCCCCCCTCCATCTGGGACGGTCCCCTTAAGTGCTTAATACTGCCAGTTTTGCTTTATGGAAGCAAAACCTGGACGCTATCTAGTGCCTTGGAGTCACGTCTTGATGCCTTTTGGAACAAGTCCCTACACCTGGATCATGGGATGTAGTTGACAGGACCATGTGTCCAACTGATGACTTCACAGTGAGACTGGCATGGGACCTGTTACTTACATAATCCATGCCCGCCAAGAGATGTAAAGAGGGCTTGCCTGGCGATTCACCATAAGGGACCCCCGTGGCTGGAAGTGAAGGGTGGATGCAGCTATGCGCCATCATCAGCATCGGCCCCTTTCATGGTGATGATGATAGTTTATTAAAGTATCTAGTTAATAGTTTCATTTCAAAAGAAAGTTGATTTTCATATCATATGCTCCCCTTAAGAGTGGTTTCCCTTCTACAGGTGTCGTCCCCATGTCACAGGTCGTCGTTGTGACACACCTGAGGAAGGATATTATGTTGCAAGCCTGAATTACCTTACATATGAAGCAGAACTTGCAAGGGGCTCTGAGGTGTGTGTTTGTTTTTTTGTTATAATTTTCAGTATTATTTGTTTGATTTTATTTTGAATCATTGCATTATTTTGTGCATATCATTTCTGCCTATATTTTCATATTTATATATTTACCTATTTATTATTGTTACGGTTGCTTTAATCTATTGCTTGGTGTATCTTTTATCAACTTTTTTTAGTGTCATTTGTTCTTTTTTTCCTTTTTTATACTAGTTTTATCTTTTGTATTTCAGATTTACTTATTTTATTATTCATTGATTGATTCTATTTTGTGTTCAAATCTAAAAATGGATGATGGTTAGTAAGGATATGTATCTGTAACTGATAGTTAACAGTGGGGATGGTATTTATCATAAGATTATAGAAAAACTAGTTTGTGGTTTGGGCATTGAGGATGGTGATTTTTATCACCATTTGTCATTGCTCTCACCATCTCTCTAATCATTGTCTCTGTTAGGAACCATCATCTTTACAGAAATACTGTTCAGCCTTGCATTAATTCGCATGGAGGGTGACTCATTATTCAGAA